TGGAGCGGATATCAGCTCTGTGGGCACTAGAGGAGGGCAGTTGAATGCTAATGGGGCAGCTGAAGACCAAATCCCCTAGACAACTAGTGATGACCTGGTTATTCTGGAGGCTCCTTCGGGGGTGAGCGCTACACTAGCATTTTCATAACTGTTTTACAGCAGCCGAGACACAATTCTCTTCTGGGGGAACAAATCATTTAAAGGTGGAGATCTACGCTGGTTATGACATCACATAATCCATATGTTACACTGTGTGAAAAGATATTCAATGTATATACTGTATAGTTTGTATTTCAATGGTCATCAATGATCATTCAGGCCATTTGTCCTACTTATGCCCAGAACCACCACCGCAGCCAAACATGATGTCGGATCTCCTCTTGCACTCTTTGGTTCCTTCCGCCGGCCCCTGCAGGCTGTAGTGACGTCAGGCTGACAGAGGAATCCATAGAGAACGCGATAGGGGGTGGGTGCATCTAACAGTCCCTGAATCTCAAACCCTGAACATTCTTCAGTAAGCTTTGATCTCCCATGTGGTGGAAGTGGATGGTGTGCGGTGAGGGACAGTTATGTATTTTTTGCTTTATTGGCAGGGATAGATTATTGATATTCAGTTTTTCTGCCATTTATTTGAAAGGCACTCTAACACACCTCCTGACAGGCGTGCGTTAGAGCCCCGCACAATTTGCAGGACCTCATTACTGTGCGTTGCAGTTTAAAAGAGTAGTGAATGTATTACCTTTTTCCCCCACCATTTCCCAATGCACTGTATTGCAGTACAGTATGGAGTGAACACACCCTTAAAGGTGAACTCCAACCATACCTTCTCTCTTGCCCTGTTGTACAGACTCCTCCCCCAAACTAAAAATAAATACTCTGATTTCACTGCACACTGTGAGCTTCTCACAGCTTGAATTAGAAGCTGCAGCAGGTTAGATAGAGCCCGCTTTTTTCTTGGCTGGAGGACATTCAGTATCATCTAGCTTTTTCCTCTCCATCCTGGCCTGCACCCTTCTTTCATTGGATTTCAGTTCTTTAAAATTAAAGTCACAAATTCCCCCCCCCCCCCGCCCCCCCAATGCTGCTTTAAGGACTTACCTTAACTGATGCCTCTTGATACGATCATCTTCTTCCTTCCACTTGTATTCAGCAATCCCTCCAGCGCTGGTGCCGGTCTCTGATCCAATGCTGACCTTGCGGGGTCCTACGGAGCCACCCTTGTGTTTACTAATAAGCTGTGTGTGTGCACAGCACGGCAAGACACTCCCTGTTCCCTTCTCCTGCTTCCTCCCTCCTTCCTTCATTAAGCTAGCAGATGGACAGCTGATGGAGACTGGTCTTTTTCTTGTGATTTTGTACTGGACAAGAAGTTCAGGGAAGCAGAGAGAGATGGAGCTGTTTGAAAACATGATGACTGTAAGTGTTTGAGGAAAATTTTAAAGGAATACTTTGCTGGGTGATGTATATTGTTCTGATATGGATTCATTTTTGACAAAAAGTTTGAACGCTTAATACTACTTTAACATATTTTCCTTTCAGGAGAAATGTATTGTGATGTAATACCTCATTATGGCCAATAGATGGAGCTGAGGAGCATAGGAAGTAAGGATATACAGTATTACATCATAATACATTCTTGGCATTATACAGCAACAGTGTCATTTTTCTGAAAAGCAACATCTTTTATTTTTAGAACGATGCAGCCACGTGACTGTGCCTAGGCTGAGATGATGCTATCAGGCTGCTACGGGCAGGAGGAAGCTTTTCCTCAGTCTCCCCTGACCCAGTGATCAGACTGAAAGATTGTAACGTTCTGGCAGGTCACAAGGTGAGAGTCTATACAGGGGGTTCCCAACCTTTTTTCAGTCACGGCACGCTTTAAAAGTATGCAAAATCTCAAGGCAGCCCAGTCCAAAATGTCAACATTCATACTAGACCATTATCACAGATATGGATTTGAAAGAGGATCCCATGAACAATGCAAAATAAATGGGGTTCCCTTTTTTTTTATATAAAAAGCCCCTTTTACATTAGAAGTCCACTTCACATTAGGAGCCCCCTCCTTACACATCAGTGTTCCCCCTCTCACACTACGAGCCTCCCTTCACTTCATTGCCCCTCTTTTCACATCACAAGCCCCCCTTCACATGGGTGCTATGGCACCCTGGTTGGAAAAGGCCTTGCAGCATGGGGCTAACCTGTGTCGGACATTTGTGAACCAACCACAGGCATAATAATATACATGATTGTGCTGTCTCTGAGCTGACACTTATATCTCAGATGTGAATGATGACTGAATAAAGATGGTGCCATCCTTCTGGAGAGGAGAGCAGATGAAGGCATTATCAGGGGGAGTTCTGTGATCTCTGGGAGTGTTACAATTGTAAATTGCATATCATGAATGCCCTAAAAATGAAAAAATATGTCTGATGTCAGTTCTAGTGTAATTCCCTTTTCCTCTTTGCGGGACTGGGAAATATGTTATTTTATATGGGGGGTTAGGTGCAATTAGGGATTCCTGCATCAGGAACATGCGTTTCCTGCATCAGGAATCCCATATCTGGCGTTTAGCAGCATCTGTCACCTATTCAAGTTAATGATCAGGTGACAGCCGCTGCATGGAAACTCCTGCACACCGCATGTAATGATAGGTGATATGATTACATTCGGTTAGGAATCAGTCGCTCTCCCTGGACGCAATGATTGGTATTCCGGGAGAGTGTTTTCTAACCGCATGTAATAATATCACATTCCATTACATATGCGGTGTGCAGGAGTTTCCATGCAGCGCCTGTCCCCTGATCATTAACTTGAATGGGTGACAGCTGCCACTTGTAAACACCAGATTAGGGATTCCTGCTGCAGGAAAACGCAAGTTTGTGATGCAGGAATCCCTAATCGCACCTAAACCTGCTGATATGAATGGGGCCTTATTGTGTATTGGGGTTCGTAGTAGAAAACCGGATATAGTTAAATGTTATTTTAAAGTATGAAATTTGGCAAACAGCCCCCATGGGAGAAAAAAAAATTGTTGAGGGGCCCCCGAGGGAATTGAGTTTGAGACCCCTGCCCTAGACCAAAACTCTTACAGTGTGGGGGTAGCCCCACTGCAGGGATTCACTTTTTAGATTCCTGGAGTTCCTCTTTAAACTTCCATGAACAGGCCAGGCTGTCCAGCAACAATTGCAGATAGAGGGTTGAAACAAACCATTTAAAGGTGCCCATACACCTTACAATTATCTGCAGATTTTCTGTTGTCAGATGGAAAATGTGCAACAGATTGGCCCAGGTGGAGATTACTCCATCCGCACAGTTAAGTGTCAGAAACCTTTTCCATCTGACCACACAAAATCTGCAGATAATTGTAAGGTGTATGGCCAGCTTTACACTGATGGGTGCTGACAATCTTTAGCTTTTATCCATTTTGGACTCATTCACACGAGCCCGCTTGCGTGAGGGCGTTGGGCACAGTGCTTTGCGTTTTAACAATGCAAGGCGCTGTTTTATTTTTTAGCTTTATTGAAATAATTTTATCTATTACACAAAATAGGCGGACGCACAGAGACTTGCAATGCATTGCGGAAAACTGCAAACATGCTGCATTTCCCGCACCTCTCTACTCTGTTGTTTGCACGAGGCACATGTAAAACAAATGCGCCCTGGTGAAGACCTGTGTTGCTCAGGCGCAGAAACACGCAGGTCTCCGGACAGTTCAAATGTTAATCACAAAAGGAAAAATAGTTCTGCTTAAAAGTATTAACTGGATTTCAGATTTAATTTGTCCAATTAAATCTTCTAGTCCATCTAAGGTTGCCCACACACCTTACGATAATCGTACGATAATCGCGGGAAATCCTGCGATCGTACGATTATCGTAAGGTGTGTGGAAGCCGTGCGACCTCTACTACTGTAAGGTCGCACGACTTTAAACTTACGAACATGTTTGAAAACCCGCCGAGCATCGTACGATGTTCGGCGGGTGTGTAGCATGTTCGGAAGATAAAAGCCAGACGGGCCGGTCATTGCGGTCATCGGAAGCCCGCCCCTCAGGGGGCTACGGCTTGCGATCATCGCAAGTACGATCTGCCTGTCCAAGATAGGCAGATCGTACGTTTTTTTAAGTACCCTACAACCATCGCAAGACTAAAGTCTTGCGATGGTTGTAAGGTGTGTGCCCAGCATAACACTACCCTCTCCATGGGAGGGGGGGGTGCGATGATGCTGTCCAAGGGTGCCTACACTGCTCCTCCATAGATACAGTAGAGGAGTGAGTGTAGCCACCCTAAAGGCGCCCATACACCTTACGAATATCAGCCGATTTTCGTATATGCGATTGCGTTTTCGTCCGATATTTGTAAGGTTGATGGGCAGTGTACATCCACAAATACTGTACAATCGATCGACTTTTGACTAACCAACAGGTTAGAAAACTTCGGTCGATCGTATGATTATTCACAAGGTTGGTGGCGTTTCCGTACGTCAAAATTCCTACGATTTACACTGCACATGCGCAGACGTAAATAAGTGTGGTCGATTACTGCAATTCGTCCAGGTGCTTTCTTCTAATTACCGCTGAACCAACCTTGCGATAATCGGGGCAGGATGGGGCCGTCGTACGAAAAACGTAAGACGGTTCGATCATCGGACGAAAAGTTTTGTCCGATGATCGCAAGGTGTATGGGCAGCCTAAGACAGGAAGTGTGTTATTGGTTAGATCACCAGGTGCAAAAAAAAGAATAAGAAAAGAAAAGGAACGCAGCCACCACATCTGAGGTAAGCTGCAATATATGACATTTTTATTTTTGGGCTTAGATACGCTTTCAGCTCATCACATTCCCACACTTTTATCGGAATAATATAGCGGAATAATATAGATGACAGCCGTGCTTGAAAAGCCTTGTGGGGTGTCAGCAGCTTGTGAGTGGATGGACAATTTCCTATGACAATTCCACAGTCGCTCGGCTGAGGAAGAAGCAGGTGCTGGATTATTTGCTCTTCGCTATCCACCGGGAGCCACCAGCATCTCCTTTCTTCCCATTATTCTGTCTCCCCTGCATTCCTCCGTCTCTGTGACTGAGACATTTTCCATTTCTACACAGCAGCCTCCCTCCCCAGATAGCTCTTTGTAGTTCTGCCTTTCATTTCCAGCTTCCACCCCCCCTGGATCCTGAGCCCCCTCTTCCCTCCCATCAACACAGTAGCACGCTCTTTGCTCTCCTCTCACTTTTCCACCCCATCCACTCCTGGTCGGTGTCTCTCTTCCAGATTCTTTTTGGGGTTTGGCAAGCTGTGGATTCGTTCTACACCCTTTCTCCAGTTCATTTATTTATACCCCCTTCTATTCTTGAATCCAGTAGTAAGACACCATCAAACAATGCCTTGCTTTCCAGAGGAGAGGCTGTGCAGAGCGTGGAAATAAGAAGTAAGTCCATTTTCTTGTCTTCAGCATCCCTTTGTACCTGACCCTGGCAGTCGTGAGCGGCGAGAGAAGCCAGCTGGGGTTTCGGCTCTGTTGGGGGTTGTAGTTCCATGGCAGGCGTGACTGGCAAGAGAAGCCAGCTGTGATATTGGTTCTGCTGGGGCTTGTAGTTCCATAGCAGTTGTGACCAGCAAGAGAAGCTAGCTGGGATTTCGGCTCTGCTGGGGCTTGTAGTTCCATAGCAGTCATGAGCAGCAAGAGAAGCTACCTAGGGTTCTGGCTCTGCTGGGGATTGTAGTCCCAAAGCAGTTGTGACCGGCAAGAGAAGCCAGATGGGATTTAGCAGTCATGACTGACAAGAAAAGGCAGCTGTTTTTTTCCACTCCGCTGGGGCTTGTAGTTCCATGACAGTCTTTACCGGTAAGAGAAGACAGCTTGGATTTGAGCTCCCCTGGAATGTTTTGTTTCATAGCAGTCATGGCTGGCAAGAAAAGCCAGGTGGGGCTTTGGTTCTGCTGGGGCTTGTAGTTCTATGGCAGCCATAACTTGCAAGAGACACTAGTTGGGGCTTGTAGTTCTATAACATCCATAACTGGCAAGAGCCACTAGCTGGGGTTTGTAGTTCCATAGCAGTCCTGACCGGCAACAGAAGCCAGCTGGGGCTTGTAGTTCAATGGCAGCTGTGACTGGCAAGAGAAGCCAGTTGGGGTTTTGGTTCGACTGAAGCTTGTAGTCCTATGGCAGTTATAACTGGCAAGAGACACCAGATGGGATTTTGGCTCCGCTGAGGCTTGTGGTTCCATAGCAGTCGTGACCGGCAAGAGAAGCCAACCTGGATTTTGGCTCCGCTGTGGCTTGTGGTTCCATAGGAGTCGTGACCAGCAACAGAAGCCAGCTGGGGTTTTGCATCTGCTGGGGCATGTAGTTCAATGACAGTCTTTACTGGTAAGAGAAGACAGCTTGGGTGTGAGCTCCCTTGGGGATTGTAGTTCTATGGCAGTCGTGACCGGCACGAGCAATTGATTTTTATAAGAAATGTCAGGTTGGGGACTAAGGAATGGAGCAATCAAGTGGGAGATTTTCAGGCTGATGTTACATAAGACAATCCCTATGCGTTGCTTCGCTTGTTTTTGAAATGTTATTTGCTCCATATTTCCTGCGCTAGGATGTAAAATGTCTATATTAGGATTAAATTACTTACAGAAACGTGCACATTTAGGTTAAAAACGCAAACTAGCTTCAGCTTTCTGAACCCCTTAGTGCCCGTGCTATCATCTACAGGACACCGTAAATTGCGATGACATCTAGGAGGATAGTGTGCGTGCCAAGCTGGCCACACACAGAGCGATGTGTGGTCCGATATGGTATAGATTCAGTGACACAACGAGCTCCCACAAATGATCGATGACTGATGCGATCAAATTGATTTTCCAACATGACGGAAAATCATTCTGGGGCAGACCCTGGTTAACGAGCAATGTTATTAGTGAGAAGCATCGCTCAGCGGGCCAGAGGACCCGCTGCGACATCTGCGTGAAATCTTCAAGGTACACACCACCCGAATGTCAGATGATTTCCAAGAAAATGGTTCATTTTTTTTCATGACAATGATTATATTTTAGAGCCTCATTGCAGGTTTTAGAATGATCTAGTTTGTATCATCCCGTCTACGGGCAGCCTTAGGAATGATCTGCAGGTATGCGAAGTAAGCCGAATTCAAGGCGCTTGCCTTCACATTCCCGGCATCTCATATATACGGTTATGTCATCGGCACTCGGTGTTGGAGTTTCGTCGCCAAGCATACAATTTGATTTCCCACAATGCTTTTTGTCAGACGCATCTCGAGAGCACTTAGAAGTGCTTTAGATGTTTTCATTGCATTGTCTGCGTGCTTTCGGCGCATTACCATCAAGCTCGCATGCTGTGTGTACAGAAAGCAGATACAGAGACATATGAAGGAAAATGCAATGAGAACCTTTTCGTGTTTCCTTGAGCACACCAAGTTTTTATGGACTTTATGGGCTCATTCAGATGGGTGGTTGAAAGCACACAGCACCTGTCCCTTCCGGGATCGGGTCTTTTTATGGGCGTGCACCAGGGTTGCCACCTTTTCTTCAAGTAAAACCTGAACACTCTAGCGTTGCGTGCAGCAATTTATTTTAAGAATATAGAGGAGAGAGCGATGACAGGCAGCCAGGAGAAAGAAGAGACAGCCAGGGGAGGGAGACCGGCTATAGAGGACTACAAATCCCAGCAATAACTTATACAGCAACACAATGGCCTGTGCGGGTTCTCACCAGGGCTGTGCTGGTGCTCAGGTGGACTCCGTGGGCTCTCAGGTGGACTCTGCAGGCTCCCAGGTGGGCTATGTGCACTCTCAGGTGGGCTACGCAAAGCAGAACCAAAGCCTTATAGAGCTTAGTGTAAAAATGAAACAACAAAAAAACCCACCCGAAAAATAACAAAACAAATTACAATGCAACGCATGTTTAGTACTGTGCCAATGTAAGTGAATGCACTTGCATTGAGTCACGTCCAACGCACACATTTCAGCGTGAATGCGCCCATAAGCAGAATTCCATGCAGATATAACATTCATTAACACACTATACATGCCCTTTTAATGCAAGCATGCTAAGTATCTCATTATGACTTGTATGTATGAACCTGACATGACTTGGTTTTAGCCTCTTGCTGAGCTCAGACTAGGACAGGGAGAAGCAGCACAAGGAACCAATCAGTTGTGCTATAGTGCTCATGTGCTAACAAGGAGCATGCTGATAGAAGGAGGGAGCAGAGTGACAGAGATAGCAGTGTTCTGCTGTTTATTTCAGTTCATTCACAGACTGGGGGAGGGACAAGGCCTATAGCGGTGGACATAAACCTTACAATTATTGTTAGATTTTCGTGTCTTCATCGAACCGTCGTCTGATTTCGGCACGGACTGCCCCATCATGCACGGACCAATGCGGATTTCAATTACCGTTCGTTAGCAATACTAACTCACCGAATTTAGTCGATCGACAGAACGGATTTTCGTTTGTGTTCATGTTGCGATTTTTTTTTTGCTACATAAACACCACTAATCCATCGATTTGTGTATGATTCTAAAAAACTTTTCTAGCCTGACCCATCGGGGAAATTCGGCCAGGCGTACAGTAACTGTGGTCGCTGACTTCCCTCTAACTGGCAGATTATCGTACGAAAACCCGACTGCGTTCTGAAATCGAACGATATCTGCAAGATGTATGGGCACCTTAAGTGCTATTTAACTTCAGCAGAGTAAGGGCTGTGCTGTGTGACAGAGCTGTGCAAATCTCTAAACTGGATGGGCAGAAATAGAAATCTTTGAGCAGGTAAACAGCCCTCACATATGTATTTCCTTTGTACTTTAGCTTGGGGAATGTATACAGGGTTATTCACAAAGGTGCCAAAGGCAGCCGAGTGAATAACCGAGCCGAAGTGAACAGAGCCGAACGACGTTGGGCTATTCACTTCAGCTCAGTACGGCTGATTTCAGCCATACATCGGCGGCCTTCGGTCAGCCGAACATGTCCTGTATGTTTGGCTAAGACCGAAGTGTAGAAGGATTCCGACTCAGCCGATCCAACATCTGGATCGGCTGAGCCGAAGCTCCGGCAGCTCACTCGCTGCCGTTCGCACCTATTCTCATTCGGCTATTCTGCTCAGTACCTCTGTGGTACCGAGCAGAATAGCAAATAAGTGTAAAGAATGTTAAAAAAAATGCTAAATGATTTGAACAATGTTAAAAAATAGGAAGATTAAAAAAATATATATATATTTTAAAAGTAAAAAAAACAACTATTGGGTGGAGCTAGCAGTGACAGCTAGCCCCGCCCAACAGTTTCCTATTGGCCGGTACCTGCTAGAGTCTTCTAGCAGGTCCCGTTCAATGAATAACAACTGGTGAGGTCACGGCCGGCTCTGCCCAGTTGTTATTGTTTAATGACAGATCAGAATCCCAAGGTCACTTGGGGACGCTGGTCTGTCATTACAACTGGCTGCCATTTGTGGGGGCGAACGGCCAGCCTTCGGCAGGCATATGCCTTAGGCTCGGCTGAGCCGCTCAGCCACCTTCGGCTGCTGTATGGGCTATAGTGAATAGCCCGCACAGCAGCCCTTCAGTTCAACTAAACTGGAGGGCTCTGGCGGCGGAAGAGAGCCGAAGGATTAGCCGAAGCTACGCCTGGATCCTTCGTGAATAACCCCTTGTAGTCTTTTAAATTTTTTAGATATAAGGGGGGAGAGATTAGCTTGCTGTACATAGTCTTATCAATGTGTCTTTTTTTTAAAGCGTAGCTCTATGCACAGCTTAAAATCATATATGCACAAGAGCAGCCGCATATACTCATTACACATGCAAGCTTTTCCCACTTTGCAGTACTACACAGTGATTTCCTGCTCCTTCCCACAATGCAATTCTACAAGTCATCTGACTCATTAAAACCAATGCACTCCCGACTAGAATAACAAACTACTGAAGATCGAGAACGGGGATTATTTTTCGACCCCCCCTTTGTTTATATGTTGTTTCAAAGTATTGTATTTTATAACTTTATTTTTTATTTTTTTATTTTTTTTCCCAGACTTTTTTCCATTTCCTATCCATGTCTATACCTATACCCCTTCCTAGTAACGCAGAGAGTCCTAGTGGTGGCTATGAGGAGAGAGGCAAACAAGGTGTCAATCAATGGAAGACATCAAATGAATTAGCTATAACGTTCGGGGGTTAAATACCCCGTCAAAGTGACATGCTCTATATAGGGAACTGAAAATGCTAGACGGGGATATAGTGTTCCTTCAAGAAACACATATAGCACACACGTCACAAGTTAAATTGTATTCCCAACAATACCCCATATGGTACTACAGTACGTCACCATCCAGTAAACAAAGTGGGGTCGCCATTGGAATCCATAGGCGCCTACCATTTAGGGTATTGAAAATGAAGACCGACTCGGCCGGGAGATACATCTTCCTAC